CAGAAATAGAAGCGTGTGTGTGTGTGTGAGAGAGAGAACAGAGCCCAGAAATAGAAGCATGTGTGTGTGTGTGTGAGAGAGAGAACAGAGCCCAGAAATAGAAGCGTGTGTGTGTGTGTGTGAGAGAGAGAGAACAGAGCCCAGAAATAGAAGGGTGTGTGTGTGTGTGAGAGAGAGAGAGAGAACAGAGCCCAGAAATAGAAGCGTGTGTGTGTGTGTGTGAAAGAGAACAGAGCCCAGAAATAGAAGCGTGTGTGTGTGTGTGAAAGAGAACAGAGCCCAGAAATAGAAGCGTGTGTGTGTGTGTGTGTGAGAGAGAGAACAGAGCCCAGAAATAGAAGCGTGTGTGTGTGTGTGAGAGAGAGAGAACAGAGCCCAGAAATAGAAGCGTGTGTGTGTGTGTGTATGTGAGAGAGAGAACAGAGCCCAGAAATAGAAGTGTGTGTGTGTGTGTGTGTGTGTGTGAGAGTGAGAGAGAGAGAGAGAGGAGAGGAGAGAAATTTAATAGATATCTGTCGAAAATGCAATTTCTTCAATGTATGGGACAACCAGATAACCACTGGGGGAAAAGGAAAGGTACGCCTCTCTCACCTTGACAGCACTCGTGGAGGAGACTGGCTTGTTACCACTTGCTATCAAAAGAACAGAGCCTGGCCTGTGCCATGGAACTTGGGATCAGGGGACCTCGCTCTGCAATGCTGCGCTGCTGTCGTTTGAGGTGCTGAGAGTAATGAATTGTCTCGCTTCGATCCACCAAGTCTCATCAACTTACTGTGAAGTAAATTCAGAGAGATGAATAAAACTTTTAAAATAAAATGGATTTGCAATGCCAGCACTTTGAGGGGCCAAGATGGGAGGATCGCTTCAGCCTAGGAGTTCACGACCAGCCTGGGAAACATAGTGAGACCCCCATCTCTATGAAAAATTTTAAAAATTAGCCTGGTGCAGTTGCACACACCTGTCGTCCCAGCTACTCAAGAGGCTGAGGTGGGAGGATTGCCTGAGCCAGGAAGGTCAAGGCTGTAGTGAATCTCTGATCATGCCCCTGCATTCCAGCCTGGAGAACAGAGCAAGACCCTGGAAAGAAGGAAAGAAAGAAAGAAAGAGAAAGAGAGGAAAAGGAAGGAAGGGAAGGAGGGAGGGAGGGAGGGAGGGAGGAAGGAAGGAAGATGTCTTTTCACTATAAAATGAAGAATTGTTGAGAGAATCAGTCCCCGAGGCCCTGGGACCCTGTGTGTCTTTGCAGACTGTGCCAAGCCACAAGGCCCCCACCACACTCTGACCAGTAGCCATTTGTGTAGCTAGTCATAGACGCAAGCTTAGAGCATGACTGCCATGCCACTGCTCGCCCCATGCTTGTCTCCACTTGCTATCAAAAGTACAGAGCCTGGCCTGTGCTATGGGACTTGGCGTCAGGAGACCTAGCTCTGCAGTGCTGAGCTGCTGGCCTTTGCTGTGCTGAGAGTGATGAACCGTCTCGCTCAGACCCACCGAGGCTCATTGACCGCCAGCACCCGTACACTGTGGAAAGACGGACTCGTCTACTCGCTTGCTTGCTCATCTCCTTGTCGGGGTCCGGCACATCTGCCAGGGGGCTACCAACCTGCGGGAGTCCCCGAGACCACCAATGTAGATGTCTCGTTCAACCTGAGGGAGAGAGCATGCGGAAGTGAGAGAAGATAGGAAAGTGGAGTCTGGAGGTCTGAATGACTTGCAGTCAAGCAGCAACTTTATTTCTGTGGGTGACAGCTTTTATACCTTTTTTCTTGTTACATTTACTTTAGCTCAGCAGAAAAGGGGGCAAACAGAAAAGGGAACAGAAATCACGCAAAAATAGTTATCAGGAGCTTGTGATAACAGCTCACAAAGCATTTTAAGGGTTAATATGTGTTTTTCAAAGATACGTAGTACAAGCAAACAATGGTGCCCTTAAGGTGGCTTGTTAACTACGTTTTCCATCAGGAGGTAGAGCAAAGGCTCAGCTCCTGAGAAAATATGGGCAGGGGTCTCTGCCCCTCTCAGGCATCTCAATTGCGGCAAGCCTATTGCTTACACAGAGACTAAAGGGGATATGAAGCAGTCAGCACAATGTCCTCATAAACCGCAGGCCCTTACTCTGCATTCTGTTTCTGCCTCAGTGGCTTAGCCATTTTTACCTCGACTCGACAACCCTCGAGAGCAGGGGGAGAGCAGACAGGTCCAGCAGCCAAGATGGGGTGAGTCACGCTAGCTGTCTCAAGCCCTTGGCGTGCACGCTGCATCTCCTTTGAAATCTGGTTACTTCTGGCCATCCCCTGTGATGTACAGAAGCACTGTCATTCCTTGATGGGAAGGTAGTGCCCTAAATCACAAGGTCGTTGCAGGAATTTGAGAAAATGTCTGTAAAGAGCCTCTTACTATAAGAGTAGGCAATAAAAGTGGTAGTTATTATTTTTAAAATAAATACCTTTGTCACCTTTGTTCGAATCAGATGTCCTTGAATATTAATATCAAATGTTTTCTAGTTTATAAAATCTTGGCTGTTATTCCACTAAATGATTAAATGATTTATTGTTATTCCAATAAATGATTAAAATAGAGAAAACTACATTTTCTAAACCTGTGTTTTTCAGGTTGGTTTATAACCCATTAGTGGATAAAAATTCAATCTAGGGTGGGGCGCAGTGGCTCACCCCTGCAATCCTAGTACTTTGGGAGGCCAAGGGAGGCGGATCACCTGAGGTCAGAGGTTTGAGACCAGCATGGCCAACATGATGAAAACCCATCTCTACTAAAAATACAAAAAGTAGGTGGGCATGGTGGCAGGTGCCTGTAATCCCAGCTACTCGGGAGGCTGAGGTGGGAGAATCGCTTGCACCCAGGAGACAGAGGTTGCAGTGAGCAGAGATTGCGCTATTGAACTGCAGCCTGGGTGACCAAAAAACAAATAAATAAATATAGATTTTTGGCAATCAATGTAGTAGATTTTTAGCAACTTTTTTTTTTTTTTTTTTGAGACCAAGTCTCACTCTGTTGCTCAGGCTGGAGGGCAATGGTGTGATCTCAGCTCACTGCAACCTCTGCCTCCCAGATTCAAGCAATTCTCTTGCCTCAGCCTCCCGAGTAGCTGGGATTACAGGTGTGCACCACCACACCCGGCTAATTTTTGTATTATTAGTAGAGACAGGGTTTCACCATGTTGATCAGGCTGGTCTTAAACTCCTGACCTCATGATCTACCTACCTTGGCCTCCCAAAGTGCTAGGATTACAGGCCTGAGCCACTGCCCCCTGCCTATAGCAACATCTTTTTTACCTAACAGAACAGAGTTGAACAGAATATACTGATCGGAATGTAATATGTGTCTAAGAGGAGAGACGTTTGTGAAACATCTTTGGCTTGCTTTAGAAGGAGCGTGTGTGCTGAAGTGCTAGCTTGTGACGTAAAATCTACAGCAAGTTCTATTTGAAAAATTGACAACCACTTTTCTAAACCTTAAGTTGCTGCTCGATTTCAATGTTTGTGAGGGTTTCAGTGGAATCAAATCGGATGACCTTGAATGTAACCAGAACAGTGCTCAGCTTGGGCCAACAGTGGCAGGGAGTCAGTCGGGCGAATTCTAACAATCCACTAGCTGGAGTGTCCAAAGCGTTTTATCTCTGGCACCAACCCATTTAACAGAGCAAGTGTCCCGGACAGTCCAGCCTGAGACTGAAAAAAACAACAACATACACACAAAACCTGACCACTTTCCACTGTCACCAAACAACCTCTTTAAAATTTTATTTATTCCACCTGTAAAATGGAGCAAACTATAATATAGAGCTAAATCCTACCATTTTACTTAAGCCTCTTCTCCTTCCTTCCTTTCTCTCTCTCTCTTTTTTCCTCTTTCTTCTTTCTCTTTCTCTCTTCCTTCCTTTCTCTTTCTTTCTGTCTCCCTCTCTTTCTTCATCCCTCCCTCCCTCCCTTCCTTCCTTTCTTTTTTCAGACTGAGGCTTGCTCTGTTACCCAGGCTGGAGTACAGCAGCACCGTCTCAACTCACTGCAACCTCTGCCTCTAGGGTTCAAGCGATCCTCGTGCCTCTGCCTCCCATGTAGCTGGGATTACAGGCGCTCACAGTCATGCCTGGCTCATTTTTGTATCTTTAGTAGAGACAGGGTTTCACCCTGTTGACCAGACTGGTCTTGAACTCCTGACCTCAAGTGAGCCGCCCACCTCGGCCTCCCAAAGTGCTGGGATTATAGGCGTGAGCCACTGCACCCGGCAAGCCTCCTGTTTCTTAGTAAGCTGCAGAATTTGTTGTACACCGTTTCCCACTTGAGCTGTACCTATCTTTCCCACCACGTCATGCTTGAAATCAGGACACCCACTTTACTTCTGCATTGAGTCAGTGATTAAAAACAAATATATATTCAATTTCTGCACTTATGTGGTAATTCTTTTTTTTTATTTGCAACCCTATTAACTGACATGTTGTGATATTTATTTATTTTGTGACAGCGTCTTGTCACCTAGGCCAGAGTGCAGTGGCACGATCGTGGCTCACTACAACCTCTGCCGCCCAGGTTCAACAATTCTTGTGTTTCAGCCACCTAAGTAGCTGGAATTACAGGTATGTGCCACCATGCCAGGCTAATTTTTGTATTTTTATTAGAGACAGGGTTTCACCACATTGGCCAGGCTGGTCTCAAACTCCTGACCTTGTGATCCGCCCACCTCGGCTTCCTAAAGTGCTGGAATTATAGATAGGCATGACCCACCGCACCCAGCTGAAACTGATCTTCATTAACTGGCTCAACAGAATTTGGTTTCTTGGATTTATAGCTTAGATCAGGAATAGGCAGATCTGTGGACACGTCAGTTAAAAATTTTGGTGACGAGTCATTAACTTAAAACTTGCAGCACTGCCATAGACAGCCTAAGTAAAACTGTGAAGAATGGCAATTCTGCTTCCCACCTGTCTTCCCTGTCCCAGCATCCACGTTCCATAGACACTCAGAGCCCACGTGCTACAGTAAAACCCAGAGTTCCCACTGCAGGTCCCATCCCCTTACCTCCCTCTCTCAACCATATCTTAAGTGCATGTCCCCTTTCCCCGTGAAACTCATGGTAGTGCCTCTGATGAAGCGCCACTCTGCGTTTGGAGGAACACTATCTGCTTTAAGTAACTCATCTGCCCAGCGTCGCAGTTACCTCCTAGCTACAGGAGTACCCATATTCCATTCCCTGGTGCTCAGAACCAAACGCCTCTGCTCTTACCCGCGGCCCACACCTTCACTTGGGTTCTAAATCCATTGCCTGGAACATTCTCAAAGGCTCCCGCAAGTCTGAGCTTTCTGTCTTGCACCACCACTTTCTATTTCTTTCTTTTTAAAACAGAGTCTTGCTCTGTCACCCGGGCTAGAGTGCGGCGGTGCCATCTCACCTCACTGCAACTTCCGCCTCCCGGGTTCAAGTGATTCTCCTGCCCTCAGCCTCCTGAGTAGCTGCGATTACAGGCACCTGCCACTGCCTCCGGCTAACGTTTGTATTTTTAGTAGAGACGGGGTTTCACCTTCTTGGCAAGGCTGGTCTCGATCTCCTGACTACCCGCCTCGGCCTCCCAAAGTGCTGGGGTTACAGGAGTGAGCCACCACGCCTAGCCCTGCATCACCATTTTCTATCTACTGGACCATTCCCCTCAGCAAACAAGCATGCTCTAGTATCTCTGAAATAACAAAAACGGAAGTCCTTGGTTGGTCTCCCACCTGTCTTTCTGCTGACCTGCACGGCGAAGCTCCCCTTTGGAGCCATTCATTCTGGATTGCCGCTGACCCACCCAGGCTGCTGCGTCTTTCCATTACACACAGCAGCTGGCATTTTCGAGCCTCTGAAGATCTGCCATTTCACTTCACAAGCAAGCATGTTCCCTTGAGTCAAAAGAGACACACCAGCTCACACAGCACGACCTCTACCAGATGGGAGTCACAGCGTCCTGGGACGGCCACAGCACTGTCTTCGCTGCTTCCCGACATCCACCGGAGGCCGAGGGCCGGTAAAGCCCCAGAGGGTCCATTTCAGGTCTGGCTTCCTTCGCATAAGTTCACTTTCCTGTGTGTGTTTTGGGAGATCCCAACAACCCGCATTCAGCATTCAGAACAGATGGCCTTTATTTCAGCAGGTGTTTCTGGCTGACAGTTTATAGAAGATGGGCGTCACAAATAGCATCAGCCTCTACAGAAAGTGGGAGAAAAACAGCCGGGAAAGTCCTAAGGAGCCCAGAGCAGCTTGTTCTTCCTCGCTGCGTGCAGTTGGTTCTCCCTTGGCCCTCAAACTGAAGTAGCGATCATCTCCTCTGGTCCTTCCCCTTTCTCAAGATATGGCTCAGGAGCAACACTCTCTTAGAAGCCTGTGGTCCCTGAAATCTAAATGCAAACACACTAGATATCCTCCCTCCAAGCCACCAGAACCCTAAAGTCATGCACGAAAAATCTGAGATTGCAGACGAATGGAAGTGCAAAAACACAGCATTCAGGTGCTGTTGGAAGCTTTGGTTTGGGCTGGGCACGGTGGCTCGTGCCTGTAATCCCAGCACTTTGGGAGGCCAAGGCGGGCGGATCACCTGAGGTCAGGAGTTCTAAGACTAGCTTGACCAACATGGCGAAACCCTGTCTCTACTAAAAATACAAAATTAGCCGGGCATGTAATACCAGCTCAGGAGACTAAGGCAGGAGAATCGCTTGAACCTGGGAGGCAGAGGTTGCAGTGAGCCAGGATCACGCCCTCACACTCCAGCCTGGATGACAGAGCAAAACTCCATCTAAAAACAAAGAAAAAAAACAAGGCAGGTTTGGTCTGAACTTGCTAAGAGCCAGCGGTGTGGTGGCATGCCGTGAGATCTGGCAGCACTCCGAGGAAAGCTCTTGCTTTCTGGCTTAAGCCAAGAGGCTGTAAGCTTTGCACTTGCTGCAGTCCCACCTTGTGATCAGTGCAGGGTCAGACAGTAGCAGGGACTGAAAGCTAAAATACTGACAGGGAGCTGGGCACAGTGGCTCAGCCTGTAGTCCCAGGCATTTGGGAGGCTGAAGCAGGAGGGTCACCTGAGCCCAGGAGTTTGAGGCTGCAGTGAGGTATAATCACACCACTGCACTCCAGCCTGGGTGACAAAGCGAGACCCTGTCTCAAACAGACAGACAAAAACCACAAAGCCTACAGGTGCTGGGCTGTCACAAAACATAAGCAGGTTCGCTGTAGAGAAGAAAACAACCCAAAGCACTCAGGAACGACGACTTCCTGGTCAGCCTCCAAGTCAGCGAGTCGGGGCTGATGGGGAGTGTGGTGATCTGTGGAGTTCAAGGTCAGCAGCTGCTGTGTGACGCCAGCCTGTTGTTGCCATGGAAGAGTATTACTAGATCTTTCAAAGAGCAGCCAAAAGTTGTGTTTTTATTTTTATTTGTTTATTTATTTTGGAGACGGAGTTTTGCTCTTGTCACCCAGGCTGGAGCGCGGTGGCGCGATCTTGGCTCACTGCGACGTCTGCCTCCCAGGTTCAAGTGATTCTCCTGCCTCAGCCTCCTGAGTAGCTGAGATTACAGGCTTGCTGCACCACACCTGGCTAGTTTTTGTATTATTAGTAGAGACGGGGTTTCGCTATGTTGGCCAGGCTGGTCTCAAACTCCTGACCTCAGATGATCTACCTGCCTCGGTCTCCCAAAGTGCTGGATTACATGTGTGAGCCACCACACCTGGCATAAAAGTTGTGTTTTTATGTAGACTCTCCTGAATTCTACACATTGGTGCTTAAAATTTGGAAAAAAAAAAAAAAAAAAAAAAAAAAAAAAAAACAGGCCTAAAAAAATATGATGGGCTGAAGTTCAGCTCCCGGATGGAGAGTTTGTGGTGCCAGCAAAGCAGGGTCATCCTGTGTGTTTGTACTTGCTCAAGGGCACACGTGAATCAGAGCTGTGTGCCCAGGCTTGAGACACTCTCAGCGTGGGTGAAGAAAACCTTTTTCCTGATTGGTCTGCCAAAAGGATGGGTCTCCTTTTCCAGTTTGCACAAAGGTGCCATGTGTACCAGCAGTATTCCCACAGTCAAGATAAACCACCCAACAGTAAGGCTACTGAGGGGTTTCCCAGGACACAGGACTTTCAGTGATAAAATGAGAAAATTACAACAAGTTGGTCACCCTAACCTGACCGTGCCCAGCCTCTGTTCGTGATGTTAATTTCTTTTTCTGTTTGTTTGTTTTTTGAAACGGATTTTCACTCTTGTTGCCCAGGCTGAAGTGCAATGGCGTGATCTTGGCTCACCGTGACCTCCACCTCCAGGGTTCAAGTGATTCTCCTGCTTCAGCCTCCCGAGTAGCTGGGATTTCAGGCATGCATCACCATGTATGGCTAATTTTTTGTGTTTTTAATAGAGACAGGGTTTCACCATGTTGGTCAGGCTGGTCTAGAACTCCTGACCTTGTGATCCACCCGCCTCGGCCTCCCAAAGTGCTGGGATTATAGGCGTGAGCCACTGCGTCCGGCCCGTGATGTTAATTTCTTTGGTTCTTTGGTTAATTTATTTGATGGATCTGTGCAAGCTGTTTGGTTAAAAGCTAAGTCGAAGTACATTTGCTTATAATTACAATTATAGTAGCTTTTATGAAGGCAAACACAGGGTTTTATGAGCTAGATTCATGGGAAGAACCCACATTTGTTTGGCTGTGGCTAGGTGGTAGGTATAATGCATGCTGAGAAAACGGATCCAGGTGCCGATAGTCAGCCTCTGCATCCCCCATCCCTGCTCCAGGCAGGCGGCCTCCTGCCTCAGCCCCTGGGACTCCAGCTGGGCCCGGCCAGTCTGGGATGGCGTGTAAGACATCCAGGTCAGCTAGTAAATACCCCTTTTTTTTGTTTTCAGCTGGTGTTTCTGCTCTGCCACCCAGGCTGCAGTGCAGTGGTGCAATCTTAGCTCACTACAACCACTGCCTTCTGGGTTCAAGTGATTCTCCTGCCTCAGCCTCCTGAGTTGCTGAGATTACAGACACCTGACACGATGCCCAGCTCATTTTTGTGTTTTTAGTAGGGACGGGGTTTCACCATGTTGGTCAGGCTGGTCTCCAACTCTTGACCTCAGGTGATCCAGCTGCCTCAGCCTCCCAAAGTGCTAGGATTATAGGTGTGAGCCACAGCGCCCGGCCCACTCCTGCTGTTCTGATTATCTTTGGTGGACCCTAGTGTTTGGCCTAAAGAGCACATTTCTCTACTCAGCCTCTGCCCTGCAGACAGTTTTTAAGCTTGTTTGTTGTTTATACATATATATATATATATAGTCAGCCCTCTGCGTTTATGGGTTCTGAATTGCTAGATTCAACCAACTGTGGATCGAAAATACTCGAAAAAAATTGCATCTCTACTGAACATATACAGACATTTTTTGGGGGGGCATCAATATTCTCTAAACAATAGAATATAACAAGTGTTGACATAGTAATACATTGTATTTGGTATTAGGACTCTAGGAGGATTTAAAGGCTACAGGAGGCTGTGTTTGGGTTCTAGGCAAATACTAAGCCGTTTTATGTCAGGAACTTGAGCAGATTCTGGTATCTGCAGGAGTCCTGGAACCAATCTTCTGTGGATACTGAGGGATTCCTAGATCTAAATTGGTCTTTTCCCTACACAACAGTGGCAGAGGGAGGCAGCCAGCTCTCCTGCTGCTTTAGCATCTGTTGCCTTATCTGCGACTCCCTAACGATATTTTTCTAACCTGGAAGTCCTCCCTTTCCCGACCCAGTCTTCTCTGAAATCACACATGAGAGCATCATCAGTAGATGTAATAGGGTCTGGGCGCGGTGGCTCACACTGTAATCTTAGCACTTTAGGAGGCCATGGTGGGTGGATCACTTGAGGCCAGGAGTTTGAGACCAGCCTGACCAACATGGCAAAACCCTGTCTCTACTAAAAATACAAAAATTAGCCGGGCATGGTGATGCGTACCTGTAATCTCAGCTACTCAGGAAGCTGAGGCAGGAGAATCACTGGAACCTGGAGGGAGAGGTTGCAGTGAGCTGTGATCACACCATTGCACTCCAGTCTGGGCAACAGAGCAAGACTCTGTAAAAACAAATAAATCAATAAATAAAACAAAAAAAATGTAATGCGTTTCAATTATTTACATGAAAAGTTCAGGAAAAATACCCTTTATTTTGCTAAAATTCTTGTTTTATATATTTTCACCTGCTAGTTTTAAAACTGTTACCAGAGGCCAGGCGTGGTGGTGCACATCTGTAATCCCAGCACTTTGGGAGGCCGAAGCGGGCAGATCGCTTGAACCCAGGAGTTCAAGACCAGCCTGGCCAACATGGCAAAACCCCGTCCTTGCTAAAATACAAAAATTAGCAGGTGTGGTGGTGCATGCCTGTAATCCCAGCTACTCAGGAGGCTGAGGTGGGAGGATCACTGGAGCCTGAAGAAGTTGAGGCTGCAGTCAGCCCAGATCACACTACTGCACTCCAGCCTGGGCAACAGAGCGAGGCGCTGCCTAAAAAACGAAAATGTAACAATGAAATGTGGACGTGTATTTATTTTCAAGACTCTAACTTTTGTCTCAGTCAACTCTGTGCTGAGATCTTTGTGCAAACATGAAGTGAGCTTCCTCCCTCTGTGATTCTCACCTTTGAATGGCAGCCCAGTTCCAGTCTGTTAACGCTGGCTGCCTGGGTTCCACCCTTGGCTCTTCCGCTTTCTTTTTCTTTCTTTCTTTCTTTCTTTTTTTTTTTTTGAGATGGAGTCTCACTCTGTCACCCAGGCTGGAATGCAGTGGCTCAATCTTGGCTCACTGCAACCTCCGCCTCCTGGGTTCAAGCAGTCCTCTTGCCTCAGCCTCCTAAGTAGCTGGGACTACAGGCACCCACCACCACACCTGGCTTGTATTTTTAGTAGAGACAGGGTTTCATCATATTGGCCAGGCTGGTCTCAAACTCCTGACCTTGTGATCCCCCCTGCCTTGACCTCCCAAAATGCTGGGATTACAGGCATGAGTCACTGCGCCCGGCCGGCTCCACTGCTTTCTAAGCTGGTGAGCTCGTGTGCTCCCTAACGTCTCTGTGCTTTCGTTCGCCCTTCCTAATGTGGCAACAGGAGCATGAGTCGCCACCTGGTGGGGTTTCATGTACAGTAAATCCTCACTGAATCGGTTCTTGGAAACTGACTTTAAGCAAAACAACATATAAACCAAACACATTTTCTTACACACTGATATAAACCAGAGTTAAGCTATAATTTCTGGTCACAAAATTATCACCAAACTTCTAAATAAAGACCACAATACTCCTCATATTAAACACTGAGTAAATGTGAGCTGTTCACACATTTAAGAAGCATTAATCAAAACAAGTCAGATGAAGACTTACCTGTTTATTCCAGCTCAGGGTCGCCAGTGGCCACACAGTCCTTCACAGCAGCTTAGGGCACCAAGTGGGACCCACCCTGGGTAGGACACTGTCTATCCTAGGGCAAGTCACACCCACATTCACTTGCACTGGTCCACACTCACACCCTCAGTCACACACCCACACTCTCCCACACCCACACTCTTCTTCATCCCTCCACTCACCACACTCATCCTCACCCATGCTCACACCCACACACCCTCACCCACTGTCA